TCTTATTACACATACAATGTGGTCATTCGTTTTAAAGTTGCAAGAGCGATCGTGGCACGCAATCAGAAATAATTACTGATGCTTCTAACTGGCTCTTACAATTGATCGTGATTTTAAAACTGAGTTCGCAAACATATTGTGACTCAGCATATAATACATATATAGATATATAATAATATAAACGTACTCTGTAATTGTCATAATTTAAAACTTTGTATCTCTAAAACTAACGTTTAAAATAAAAATATACAAATAGTTTTATCTCTGAAACTTAATTTTTGAGAAATTCCTTGCTGTAATATTTTGAGTAACAAATTTGGAACATCCCGTGCACTGCTTTATGATTGATTTATAGTCCGTTGTTTTGCACTAAAAATTCATTTTTACGTAAAATAAAAAAAATAAGAGAAACAATCTCCAACGGCCTAAATGACAAATTTTAATATTCAGTCATTAAGTCATGATTCTGAACATTCAAAAGATTTTAACTGTCATACAATATGACGTATCTTATATATGAATATAAAAAGATAAGATATGTATACCATGTATTGATTAGAAAAATGATATAAGAAGATTTTTAGAAGACAATGGAGACTTTACACTTAAAGGCCCTATACTGGAATTTACTTTCATATTCCAATTAGAGGATTACTAAGTTTCTGAAATACAAATCTGCTAATTTTTCACGCTTGAAGAACCAACGAACGAATAAACGAACGAAAAAAAAAACAGTTTTACTAATTTTAATAATTTTATATTTTATTTTTGTATATTTATCTTGATACCATGTATATTAATAAAACATATTTCATTTTTGTTTTGTAGTAATATATTTTGTAATTATTACAACATAAAATTACATTTTCTCAGTTATATCTCAGTGATAAAATTTCGAGAAAACGTATGTTTAGTATATATGGACATTCTAAAAATTATTGGTGTCTATTTAAATTTTCCGCCTTATGATTTATAACGTATCATTTTAGTGCATCACAGCACCTTCGAGAGGCACAACATGCCAACCTCTATCTACAAGCAATGTCACCCCTGTTATAAAACTAGCATCGTCACTCGCTAGAAATGCAATGGTTTTTGTGATTTCCGAAGAGTCGCCGTTTCTTTCTAAAGCGTGCATTCCTTTCCATCGTTCGAAATGGTTTTTAAACTGTTCTTGGGTCATTCCAGAGTTCCGAAGGATATTTGTTGGTACAGCGTCAGGATTTACAGCATTCACACGCACCTATCATATTTTAAAAATAATAATACGACGCGCAAACTAATATTTATAATTAATATTATTGAAAAATTATTGAAAATATAATTATTGAAAAAAGAAAGAAGAATAGTCATTATTTTTACTTATTGTGATGCCAGTTCTAAAGCAACGCAACGTGTAAATTGATCCAGAGCCGCCTTACTCATGCAATATGGCAGATTATTCCCTAGTGGTCGTAATCCACCTATACTTGAAACATTTACAATGTTGCTTTTCGTTTTTGATAAATATGGTGCTGCCAGTGCTGTCAATTGGAATACCGAGCGAACGTTTACGTTCATAGTACTGAAAACAAATTTATGTTAAAAACATGTTTTGAAAAGTTAATATATTTTCGGTATACAGTAATTTATCAATATCCGTACGTATTTATACATATTATCGAGTCACGTGTTTATTATTTACCGATAAATTCTTTGAATTGATGCAAATTAAAGTGAATTAAACGTATATTTGTTTAACTTGATCAAATTATTATAGCATATGCACTAATTCAGAATGTAATTCAGAAAGTAATTGATAAATCCTCATAAAGGACAGATAACATAATAAGTTGACAATATGTATAAACACTTGAAATTTATTACATACTTATTGTATTGTTCCAAGCTTGTAGCTATTACCGAATTCTACAATTCCAGCATTATTAACTAAAACATCTAATTTTCCATAATGCTTGATCGTCGAGTCGATATAATATTTTTCACATCATTCTCATTGGCTAGATCTCCCGTTATAATAAATGGTTTAGGTTGTCCACATTGTTCGGCTATCTTGTCTAAATTGTGCTTATTACGCCCTGTTATCGATAGCAATGCACCAAGTTGAGCAAAGTGAATAGTGTTTCAGCTCCAATTCCTGAACTGGCTCCTGTTATCAGAACAACTTTTCCCTCAAAAGACATCTAAAATAGATAACATTTTTCAGACTAGATGTATTAGCGCTCCATTTCTCAAGCAGCCATAAGTAAATTAAATCCGATCATTAAATTACTGCATTACATCATATAACACTAATATTACGAATCTAATGTAATTATTATGTAGCTAATGGAACTATATTTGCATTTGTATAAATAGTTCCTTTTAAAGGAAATATGTTTTGTGAAAGAAAAAAGAAATCAAAATATGTAAAATTAAAACAGTTTCTTTCGAATAACCGGTGTTTTATTAATTATGTAAAACAATATGTAAAATTTTGTGTTTAACAAATGTTTAATTACTTACTGTGGCAGTACAATGATATTGAATAATGTTCACATAACGGCGAAACTTATAATCTCGAGTGATATATATATATATAAGCAAACACTGTACGATAATGTGATATTGCCAGTTTAAATATTTATCTATCCTCAGATATTTATCTGTCCTCTTCCGGAACGATAACATGTTCATTTAATCGTGATCTTATTACAGACTGTTTCCCGTGTTAACATATTTTAAATCATCTGTCTTTGCATATAATAATTAATAATAATTATTATTTAAGCAGTTATAAATTCATATTAATATAAAAGAGCTCCAATAATTGTCAAAATTAAGTTACTTTTCGATCAATTAGGATTCAATTAGGATTTGTACGTTATTGTAATCTATTCTGCATAGAAAGTTTTTTCTCTTTTGTAATTATTATAATAAATACAATATATATATATATATATATATATATATATATATATATATATATATGGAATTATACGATGAAACACTCTGAGCTTCCATTATTGAGAATGAATTAAATTGATTTTGATTTATTACTTCTCAATACATTTCATCAAAAACCAAAGAGAACAACAAATTACTATAAAAATAATATTCTAATGATTGAATCTGCTTTCAATCATTAAAATCAATAAACAATAAAAGGAAACGATAAGAAATGATATTTATTTCGAAATATAATTATATAAAATGATAAATTATGTTAAAAAATGATAAAATTGTCTTGAAAATAATATCACTTCTCATAGCTTTTTTTTCAATATTTTTAAAAATATAGTTATATAATAGCAATCGAAATATTGTGTATGTACATATATAAATTCTAATAAATAATAGAATATTGTGAGATATTTGTAGAATAAGAGTACGTTTACACATTATTATTAATCGGGTTTAATAACAGAGATAAATAAATTTTAGTATATTGTCTGTATAGTGATGAAATTTGAACACTGAAAATAATTATATAATTATTCAAAGATGCGTTCTCATAACATGAATGAATTTCTAGTATACTCGATGCTGTAAGAATTGCGACAATATGCTGATTTTGTCAATAATAGAGCGCAATTGATGCAACACGCTATGTTTAGTTTGTCTGTCTATTTGGAAACATTGGTTGTTATTAATTACTCGACATAACATGTATAGGCTGATATTCATAATCAGTTCTTATTTTGAAATTGTCTTAATAAGTAATATTTTATAAAACGCTAAAATATAAAATTGTCCCAAATTTCGCAAAACACTGTAGCGAGGAAGTAAAAATTAAGTAAAAAATTATTTGTAAATTTTTATTTTAAGTAGTAATTTTTTAAATAATAAGAGTTTAAATATAGCCATTGCAATTATAGACTACGTTTAGATGTTTGTTCATGAGTCGCGCGTGTAATAGTATTAATTAAAAAAAAGCTACTTCAGCGTGTTTACTAATGCGAGATTTATGTGGCAGGCAATCAGAATATCAACTGATGCTTTTGATTGGTAATTGCAATCACTCATGCGATTTAAAAATGGTTGATCGCGAACACACTGTATCCAGCACAGTCATTCATAAGTGACTATTTAAACGTAGTTTGTAATTGATCATATTTAAATCCTCTAAAACTGATGCTTGAAATAAAAATATACAAATAACTTTTTTTCGGAAACTTAATTTTTTTTAAAATTTCTTGTTATAGCAATTTGAATTACGAATTTTAAAACATCCTATGTATCACTTCATGATTGATATTTATAGTCCGTTGTCTATTTTGCCTTAAAAATTGATTTTTACGTAAAATAAGACAAAAAGAGAAACGATATTAACAAATATTAATCCAAGTCATGATTCTGAAAAACATTCATTTTTAACTGTTGATCAAACACCTTGAATAATGCTAGTGGTAGCGTAACTAAAGCTTCATAACTCGAAAAATACTTAATGAAAAAATATGTTAATTTAGTATTTTGAAGAGCTCTCAAAATAAGCTATAAGAATATGGAGATTTCCATAAAAAAAAAATAAATGTAACCCGATCTTGACGACACTACCCAAAATTAAACTAATAAGACCGCAGTCTTTTTAAACTCTACAACTTTTATCTGAAACATTTTTTGTATAAAACTTATATTTTTCGGGATATGTCAGGATCCTGCTATTTTTTACTTACCTCGTATGTATACCTCGTATATATATCTATGACGTACTTTACATATGTATATACATAAAAAAATATGGATATACACATAATAATTAGAAATTTAGATAAGTGATATAAGAAGGTTTTTAGAAGATAATGAAAGCTTATATTATTTTAGACGCCCTACACTTGCTTTCACGCTTCAGTTAGAGGATTGCTAAATTTCTAAAACACAAATCCGCTAATTTTTCAGACTTGACGAACCAATCGCAACGAAAATAAAAAGAAAAATTTTATTAATTTTAATAATTTTATATTTCATTTTTGTATTCATCTTTAATTTATATGTATATTAATAAAACATTCCATTTTTTTTGTATAGTAATATATTTTGTAATTGTTACAATTTAAAATTACATTTTCTCTGATCTTGGTTATATACAATATTTCGAGAAAATTTATGTTTATGCGTGGACGCTCTAAAAATTATTGGTGTCTATTTAAATTTTACGCCCTATGTTATAGCGTATCATTTTAGTGCATCGCAATACTCTCGGGAGGCACAATATGCCAACCTCCATCTACAAGCAATGTCACTCCTGTCATAAAACTAGCATCGTTACTTGCTAGAAATGCAATGGTTTTAGCGATTTCCAAAGAATCACCGTTTCTTCCTAAAGCGTGCATCCCTTTCAACTGCTCAAAACGGATTTTAACTTGTTCTTGGCTTAGTCCAGTGTTGCGAAGGATATTTGTTTGTACAACGCCAGGATTTACGGCATTCACACGCACCTATTATATTTTAAAAATAATAATATGACGTTCAAAATAATATTTATAATGCTATTGTTGAAAAAAGAAAACAGCTATTATTTTTACACGAACCTGTCGTGATGCCAATTCTAAAGCAACGCAACGCGTAAATTGATCCAGAGCCGCCTTACTCATGCAATATGACAAATGATTCCTCAGAGGTCGTAATCCAGCTATGCTCGAAACATTTACAATGTTGCCTTTCGTTTTGGTTAAATGTGGTACTGCCAGTGCTGTCAATTGGAATACTGAGCGAACATTTATGTTCATAATACTGAAAACAAATTTACATTGAAAATATCTCTACTGAAAAAAATCATGTCACAACGATGTTACATGATGAAATCATGTAATTAAAATATGTAAATCACGTTACGGATTGTTCTAAATCAGTATGTGATTTTTTAAAATAATATAATTTGAAAAATCACATGATTTTACAAATAATTTTATCCATTATGTTATTTTATAATTATTGAATTTTAAAGAATTAAATGATAGCAATAGAAGGAAAAAGAATATATCTTATCATATGACTTTTCAAAATACGCAATTTTAAAATCACGTATTTGGAATAATTCGTTATATGATTTACATAATTTTAATTTGATATATGATTTTAATTTGAAAAAGATCACGTCACAAAGTTGCATGATTTCATCATCGTGATCTTTTCAATAGAGATGTTTTTACAAAGTTAATATATTTTCAAACTAGAATACAGTTTATCAATATCCGAAAATGTTTACATATTATCGACTTATCACACTTATCGTTTATTTATCGATAAATTCTCTAAAATTAATCCATCACATGCAAGGTGCAATGAATTGAAGTGAATGAAACGTATATTCGTTTCACTTGTTCAACTTATTGTACCGTGTGCATCAGTTTTCAATTCAGAGTATGTCTGTCCTATCGAAAAACTCCGTGAGTAATTCACGAAGTTTTTCGATAGGGCAGACAATATGATGAGTTGATAAGTTGATAATATATGTAAAGAAACTTATTACATACTTGTCGTATTGTTCCAAGCTTGGAGTTTCTATATTACTGAATCCTACAATTCCAGCGTTATTAATTAAAACATCTAATTTGCCATAATGCTTGATCGTCGAGTCGATAATATTTTTCACATCATTCTCATTGGCTAGATCTCCGGTTACAATAAATGGCTTGGATTTTCCACATTTTTCGGCTACCTTTTCTAAATTGTGTTTATTACGTCCTGTTATTGACAATGATGCACCAAGTTGAGCAAAGTGAATAGCTGTTTCAGCTCCAATTCCTGAACTGGCCCCTGTTATCAGAACAACTTTTCCCGCAAAAGACATCTAAAATAGATAAGATTTTTCAGATGTATCCAGTAGCGCATCGCTCATCAAGCAGTCATAAGTAAATTAAATTCGATCACATTAAATCGTTACGTCACATAATCTAAGATAATATTACGAATCAATAAAACAATAATATTACGAATCTAATGTCATTATTATATAGTTAATGGAACTATATTTGCATTTGCAAATATAAATTGTTTCTTTTAAAGAGATTAGGATTTTGTGAAAAGAAAAGAAAAAAAGTAGAATTAAGATACCGGTTATCTTTTCGAAATATGTATAACAATAGTGGTTTATGTTTATCAAATGTATAATTACTTACTGTGATAGCACAACAATATTAAATGATGATCACAAAACGGCGAAATTTATAACCATCAAGTGATACGAAACGCAATATTACATTTATGAGAGCGAAATCCGTAGCGGCAGATATATATAAGCAAACACTGTATGATAATGTGATATTAATATTAATTTATGTATTTATATCTTACCTTTCTATTACTGAACGATATCGGTTTTAATTAGTCCTAACTTTGTAACAGATCGTAAAACGTTTCCTGTTGCAACATACATTTTGAATCATTTACACTTGCATATAATTAGAATAATAATAATTATTACTCAAACAGTTCAAAAATAGAGCGTAATTAATGCAGCATGCTATGCTTAGTCTGTCTATTCAGAAACATTAGTAGTTATTAACTACTTGACGTCACATGTCGGTATTCAGTAAACACTTCTTATCTTGAGATTATTTTAATAAATACCTTATGAAACACTAATATAGGTTGTCTCAAATTTCACAAAATACTGTAACAAGGAAGTTTTAAAAATTAAGTAAAAAATTATTTGTAAATTTTTATTTTAAGTAATAATTTTTTAAATAATAAGAGTTTAAATATAGCCATTGCAATTATAGACTATGTTTAGATGGCTATCTGTTCACGAGTCGCGTGTATAATAATATTAATTAAAAAAAAGGTACTACAGCGAGCTCACAAATGCGAGATCTATGCGGCAGGCAATCAGAATGTCAACTATTGATACTTTTGATTGGATATTGCAATCACTCTTGCGACTTTAAAACGAACGCATTATGAATTAACAGAATCACTCATAAGTGACTATTTTACGCAGTTCGTAATCGGTATTTAAATCTTTGTATCTCTATAACTGATGCTTGAAATAAAAATATACAAATAACTCTTTTTTGAAAATTTTATTTTTCGAAAAATTTCTTGCTGTAGTATTTTGAGATACAATTACATTACAAATTTTGAGATATCCCATGTACCATAGATTTATGGCTGATATATATGATCCGTTGTCTGTTCTGCACTAAAATTTCATTTTTACATAAAAATGAAAATAACAGGAACAATCTCTAATGGCCTTGATTTTAACAAATGTTTATATCCAGGTTATGATTTGGAACAACATTCAAAAGATTTTAACCGTCGTTGGACACCTTGGGTAATAATAACGCTGATACTGTAACATTCAAGCCTCAAACTCGAAAAATACTTAATGAAAACATATGTTGATTTTAGTAGTATTTTGAAGAACTTTCAAAATAGTACAAAAATATGCAACAAAGAATGAGGATTTCCATTTTAAAAAATAGATGTGATCTTGTCCTGATTTTGACGACTCAACATCAAACTGATAAGACTGGATAAGATGGATAGATCTCTTTAAATCTTATTATCTAAAACATTGTTTCATAAAATATTTATACATAAATACTTATATTTTTCACATTATTTCGGAAGCCTGGTATTCTTTTCTCACCCTCTGTGTGTGTGATGTGTGTGTGTGTGTGTGTGTGTGTGTGTGTGTGTGTGTGTGTGTGTGTGTGTGTGTGTGTGTGTGTGTGTGTGTGTGTGTGTGTGGGGTGTGATGTGTGATATACATAATATATACATCAAAAAATATGTATTATTGGAAAGTTTAGACAAATAACATAAGAAGATTTTTATATCTAAAAAGACTTGAAGGCGTTACGGTCTTAGACGTCCTAAATTGAAATTTACTTTCGAGCTTCAATTAGAGGAACGCTAAATTTCTATAATACAAATTCGATAATTTTTTAAGTTTAACGAGCCCACTACAATGAATGAACAACCAAAAAATAAAAGAAAAATTTCACTAATTTTAATAATTTCATTTTCTATTTTTGTATTCATCTTGATATCATGGATATATTAATAAAATATATTTCGTACTTTCTTTTGTAATAATATATTTTGTAATAATATATTGTGTAATTATTAGAATGTAAAATTACATTTTTTCTTAGTTTTTGAAAATATTTTCAGAAGACCTATTTTACTATTCATGGATATTCTATTATAAGAATTATTTGTATCTATTTCAATTTCTTTCAGGCTTCTTCAAATTTTTCTCTCATTAGAGCGTACATTTTACTGCCTGGCAACATCTAGATTTGAGCAGACGTAATATGCCAACCTCCATCTACAGGCATTGTTACCCCTGTTATAAAACTAGCATCGTCACTTGCTAGAAATGCAATGGTTTTTGCGATTTCCAAAGTGTCGCCGATTCTTCCTAAAGCATGTCCCCTTTTCAATTGTTCGAAAAAGGTTTTAACTTGTTCTGGGTCAGCCCAGTGTTCCGAAGGATATTTGTTGGTACAGCGCCAGGATTTACGGAATTCACACGCACCTATATCGTATTTTAAAAATAATATGATGTTCAAAATAATATTTATTGTTGAAAAAAGAAAATAGTCATTATTCTTACACGCACCTGTCGTGATGCCAATTCTAAAGCAACGCAACGCGTAAATTGATCCAGAGCCGCCTTATTCATACAATATGGCAGATTATTCTTCAATGGTCGTAATCCAGCCACGTTTGAAACATTTACAATGTTGCCTTTCGTTTTGATTAAATGTGGCACTGCTAGTGTAGTCAATTGAAATACTGATCGAACATTTACGTATGAAAATACTGTAAATATATTTACATAAAAAACACATTTTTGTTGTATCAATATGTTTTCAAAATAAAACAGAATTTATCAATATTCATACTATCAATTTATCATTACATACTTGTCGTATTGTTCTAAACTTGCAGTATCTATACTACCGAATTTTATAATAATTGCAGCATTATTAACTAAAACATCTATTTTGCTATAATGCTTGATCGTCGAGTCGATAATATTTTTCACATCATTCTCATTGGCTAGATCTCCCGTTATAATAAATGGTTTAGGTTATCCACATTGTTCGGCTACTTTGTCTAAATTGTGCTTATTACGTCTTGTTATCGATAGCAATGCACCAAGCTGAGCAAAGTGAATAGCTGTTTCAGCTCCAATTCCTGAACTGGCCCCTGTTATCAGAACAACTTTTCCCGCAAAAGACATCTAAAATAGATAAAATTCTTCAGATTGAATGTATCAAATAGCGCACCGCTCGAGCAACCATAAGTAAATTAAATCCGATCACTCATTAAATTGCTACATTATGTCACATAATCTAAGACACTGATATTACGAATCTAATGTAATTATTATGTAGCTGATGGAACTATATTTGCATTTGCAAATATAAATAGTTCCTTTTAAAGGGATTAAGTTCTATGAAAAGAAAAGAAATCAAAATATGTAGAATAAAACACCGGTTAGTCTTTCGAATAATGTAAAACAATGTGTAAAAATTTGTTTAATAAATGTATAATTACTTACTGTGATAGTACAACGATATTGAATAATGTTCACAAAACGGCGGAACTTATATCTCATCAAGTGATATGAAACGCAATATTACATTTATGAAAGCAAAATCCGTGCAACGATATATATGTATATATATATGTATATATACATATATATATATATATATATATATAT